TGGGGGGTGGAGGATGGGGGGGGACAATAGGTCCCCCCTTTAGTTTAAAAGTGACGCGCGAGTGTGGGCTCAGGAGAGGGTTTTTTTGTTTTTTTTTTAATAGCGAGCAGCCGCAGGCTGCTCACTGTTTAATAGACACGCCCCTACTCACGGTATAGCGAGTAGGGGTATAATTGTCCTAAGTGACCAGCTTCTATAGAGGCTGGGTCAGTTTCTGCACTAGCCAATTACAGTCAGTTTCTGCACTAGCCAATTACAGTCATGCTGTGATGGCTTCTAAGGGCACACGAGTCAAACGCTTGTTGATTGGCTGCCCTTCAGCCTTTCAAAACGCGTCATTAAATCGCTGAACTCCGAACTCCAACCCGAACATACAGTGATATGTCCATGTCCATGTTCGGGTCCGGGGTCCAAAAAACATAATGTTCGGGTTCGCTCAACTCTAGTCAGGAGTGCTCTCCCAGGGTAAGCATTCAAAATATTTGTGAACATTGTGATACGTTCACTGGGGTCCACTGGGGTCCACTGGGTGCCGGTCACTCAGGAGCACTACTCCTCAAATAACAGACTTTGGAATGGGGTAATATTAAAAGACATTCTCAGCCCCCTCGATCAAAAATTGTATCCCCAAAAGTTGTTTCTTTCGCAAGTATTTTCTCCAAACCAGCAAATAACGGTTTTCATTGCATGAAAAAAAAAAGGGCAAATAAATTATACTCAATAATACTGCAATAATATAATAGAACCTTGCCCAATGCCATCCTTCAAAGCCCTTCTAATAAGTGAAATGACTAGAGCAGATCTAACTAAATAGAATACAAAGCTGCTTTTGGGTGACCAATGGCTAGGGCCAGGTCATATTATTATTATTATTACTTGCATTTATAAAGCGCCAACATATTCCGCAGCGCTGTACAATTGGGGAGGGGGTGAACCCAACACAATAAAGACCGCTACAAAAGTTAGAAGGTCCTGCCCATGAGCTTACAATCTAAAGTAAGAATGCATTTTCTACTCCCCCCCTCTTATAAAATGTATTATTAAATGTGTGTATATATATAAAACTGAATAAGCCAGCTGCATAACAATATCAGGTATCTGGCAACGCTGGGGGGAATATCTAGAATGCTAACGGGGGCCTCGGGCAAACAGGGGTTCCCGACATGTAGGTCTCAACTAAGGAGTCGGGATCGGTAGCTCCCTCGCTTTCACCCTCAGCTCCCCCCCCCCACAATTGTCTCCACCCTCCTTCACACTGCTTACCCCTCCCCTCTATTTTTTATTTTTCACACCCCTAAATAAATCAAAAAATTAGACAGGAGATGGTACACAGTGCAAAGTCCTGCTCGTAGCGAGTGCTACCAGAAGGAGGGCCTAAGAGCAGGTACAAGCCTACTTACGGCAGGTGGTTGATACAGCCTGCATATACAAAATGTAAACATCCCATGAACATATCCCGCTCTGCTACACCATATACCAACTTACACCACTACATATACTGTACATGATGTATGTTCACTGTCATGAAGATGTAACACAACCAACTATGTACCCTACTTTGACTGTTAAGTTGCATCATTTAAGACCTGTACGCTCTAACCTTTGTGTACTGATATGTGATGTCTAACTATATATGTCATAAATCTACCTGTGCTCAAAAATAAAGTACCGTATTTAAAAAAAAAAAAAAAAAACATAAAAATGAAAAAGCCAGACATTGGATACTGTGATTTCCTTTAGCTGAAGGGAGTTAAAATTTTCATTGGGCATCCATCTCAGGTTAAATGCTTCCATGTTTTCTATCCCTTTTCTCTATTCACTATTTATTTGTATTGTTTTTTTTTACCCAAGATGTTTGTCCACACAATGTTGAGGGCATTCTTAAATGCCCACAAGGGGACAGCTCCATAACATTTATCAGTGAGTGCCTAAATGGCAGAAATTCTGCTTGTTTTATCCCTGCTACTATTGGGACCAAGGTGAGTATCTGAACATGCCACAACCTTTAATTTCCTTTACAAAGATATGAGCTTTCCTCGGTTGTGTCCAACAGCCCAGACTCTGTTTCTTGTAGGCCTCCAAGCTTTTCTGTATATTTACTTTAGTGGTAGCAGCACAGCAGAAGACCAACAGAGTGTAGGAAGCCCCAGGTTGGGGCATTTTGATTTCTTTGTCAATCTGAAGATAATTATGTTATTAGAGGGTACCGCCCCAAGTAGGTGTAACGTTCATATTACAGACAGGGCCAGGCTGTAGACAACTCAAGCTTTCTAACATTCTATTCTAATACCAAGCAGTGCAATCAGTAACAAGTTGGGTTCTAATGGTCAATTTGCTTTTAAAACTTTCTTATTCATTAAAACAGACTTACAAAAAACAGACTTGTGCCCACTGAAAACAAACATTTTAGTCCAAATTAATTTCATTTTTGTGTTTTGAGCATGTGGCGTTACTGTTGTCGACATCGGCAGTGGAAGCTCACAAAATCATCACAGCTACGACAAGTAGAATTTGTGCGTATCGACAAGCACCCAAAATTCAGACAAATCGTGAATTGTACTAGAGCAATGGAAATTTACTGCACCGATGTAGAAAGCAGCTCACATGTAGCATACAGAAATTCCCAATAAACTTTATATATATAATAATAAGGCACCATGGAAAAAACTCTTATTAGCCTCTTTTCTGATTTTCAAGTTAGCATTTAGTAAACAGCCCTCTCCATATTATCCCAGACTAAATAGACAACCTTTTCACATTTCTCAGTTACAATTATTTATGCGGAATCAACACATTCACCAACTCTGTACAATAGGTAAACATGACAAACATAAATTCTAACAAACCGTGTGTGACGTACGGGAACAGTAGGTGAAAAGGAGCTTTCGGTGCTAAAATTGTCTTTTTTTTAATTGTAAATGCCCATTACAGTGAAGAGGCTTACTGTAAATACTAGAAAGACATCTCGTGCTTTTCCCACAAGGTCATTCATTATTTAGTTCCTGTCACTAGGGCATCAAGAATGAGAATTCTAAATTCATTTTATCGTCATAAATCCTTCATTCCCATTCACCACGGAGGGTTCTATCTAGGAACACAGTGTCGCTAGCATTGATTCCTTAGACATTTGTTACTGGGTAACTATAAACATTTGCTGCCAAGTGTCATCCTGACTTTAGTAATTGCAAATTCTTCTCATTTCTCATATATTCTAGTTTAATCCAGTTTCATTTTATGTTTTACAGAAAGAAATTACGCCTACAGCTATGCGTAGCATGGTTTGTGCAGGAACAGTGACTAAGAGGACATAACACGCAATAATCTTTAAACCGTCACAAAATAAGAAACAAAACTCCATCACACAAACAAGCACACATATATACAAATTTAGACACATTTATTGATATTATAGTGTCATGAGATATTCTATTTTTGGTTTCAAGAGACCAACGAAGAAAAGACTTGCACGTTGAATGCAATGTTCTACTGGACTCAGGAGGTAAACGTTTACATAAGTGGATTCATTTTACATTGAATCCATGGCAATACCAGTGTTATCCAATTCTGACCCTACTGGGAATAACAGATTGAACGAACAAGTACCAGAACCATGTGCTGTGTCAATTCACAAGCGTCAAAGTCCTAGTTAATCAATTACTTTGGTTTTAATAAGTGTATTTTAATCAATAAAAGTTATTTTTGGTTACCTTTTAAAACTAGGACCAATTGCATACTTATTTTTATTGTATTTTATACACTTTCTTTTTACCCCTGGCATTTTATATATATATATTATTTTTTATATATATTTTCTGTATTTAACACTATAGTTTTACCCACCTTTTTTTATTATTTTTTATTATTTTTATTATTAAATTTTTTACTTGGAAGCATATTCCGTCCAAAGAAATCCTTAGGTGGGGATAATTCCACCAGCGCTGTGGCAATAGAGCAGTATCCATCTGCTCCATTCTTGTAAGTATTATTCATTTATAGATATCACTTTGTTGTTCATACTGAGAGCACTATTTTGCTGTCTCATATATACTCCGTGGACACCTACCACCCGATACTGGAAAGGCGGACCTATCTTCCAAGCATCAAGAAAACAACGTATATGTGAAGTAGATCCTAGCCGACACCACAGGAATCCCAAGCCGGACAGACGGACCATCTAAGTATATCCGTTAGTGGGGATCAAACCACTAAGTGCCTCTTCTCCCAGAGCTGGCAATAAGCTCCACCAAATGTGAGTGAAATATATTTCCTTTGATTATATACCACATCAGGACCAACAATATTTCACCATAGGCAGCTTTCTTTCTTGTTTTTTATCTTCACATATATGGACTACCTACCACACGGACGGAGCCATACTTGAGGATTAATATCGTGGTACTACATATCAGTGAGACTGTTTTTATTCTATATTTTTGAGAAAATCCGGATGAACTTTATTTGATTTTATCACCGCTGTTTATTTTACATATACACGATCTTATATATTTCAACATATCTGTTTTACCTAAGCGCAGCCCTTGACCACCTCTTTTTTCGCATTTCCTACATAAGGGTTCCGTGAGGGATCTCCCTTTTTGGGTTGCTGCTCAATTGAACTAGCGCAGACTCTTCCTCTGTTTTGTTTAATCAATTACTTTGTATCCTACTGAGATCAGTCCATAACATCAATACAGCCATGTCTCATGGAGACGCATGCTTCCAGGAAGTAATGTATTTATTAAAAGCATATCATGACCACCGATAGAGACAGACTTTTAATTCCCCGGGTAGACCTCCTGTGATGGATGGTGTGCAAAATGTGTCTTTTAAGGTTTGTGAAACGCTTGACATTTTTCACTTTCCCCTCCATTCTCTTCCATGCTGAGCATTAATAAATGAAGTGTAAAGAAGCTATTTGCATCTCTTTAAACATGTGACTTAACCCCACCCTATTAAGATAAATGATGCATCTCTCTGTGCCACGGCACCCGTTCATAACCCTTACACTAACAGGTGAAGATATGCCATGATATTTTGCTGCCTCTCTGTTTAGTTCCTCCTCTCTACCCATGAACAGTGTGCTGCTGAAGCTTTCTCAAAAGATCTCCCTGCTCAACCCAGTGCCCTCTCACCTGCTTGAGGAAACTTTGAGATCTGCACCAAACTATAAGAGCTTTCTAGTAGTCCTCTAGCCCTTCTCAATGACTCAGAGCACCACAGCCTGCTGTCTGAGTCACTAACTGAGCGCAGAAATGACAATAGAGCTCTTAAAGTGGTCCCCACCCAATGCTTCCTCACTGGAAACACCGGGGATCCTGCTTGCAGCTCCCCACCACAGAACCACCAGTTATCGAACCCAGAGTGTCCTCAGTTCTACTACCAGGCACAACAGCTCTCTCCTGAAGCACACTGCACACAAAACTCAACCAAGACACACACACAGGCACACTCAGCCTCCCCAAACCCACTTATGGTTCTCAGCCTCCTTCACACATACAACACTTAGCCAATATTCACAGAGCAAAGCCCATGGCTCTTTAGTAGGAGTCTCCAATCTGGCATTCTGCGCAGATCCCTGGGCAACCTTAATCCAGTTCTGCTGTTTTGAGATGCAACTTCTAATTGTCAAATAAAATACACCCTACTATCCTCCTGCCCCCTCCACTAACTGAAGATATTCATGGTTAATAGTAACACATCAAGGGGTTCAGCCACCAAATCCCTTCTATGCTTCTACAGCTGTATGTCTTACTATAAATTGTTGTTTGTACAGTAACAGCACAATCTTGTAGAATTACTGAGGCCTTAATATATATGCGCTATTCATGAAATGTCAAATAAACAGAATTATCAAATGCTATGTGATCAGTGATGTAATATTTCACCTTAAATAAACAGCAGCTTTATCTTCTTTCATGTGACCGAGTAACAAAGGTAACTTTTTACTGACCTTTTGTTCATAGAACAGACTGATTCGGAACAAAACAACCAAAATGTATTTGGCCAGTATTCTACTTCATATTAAGAGAATGACTGTGTTTTGCCAAGGTCGCAAAATGTCCTTGATTTCTCGTTGAGAGTCCTTAATTGATATATTTTGACCTGTTAAGATTTGCCGTGCTAGGCAACACTTCATTCTAGTTTATTCCAAAGAGAACAGATGACTAATACTGAATTACAACATTGCTGCCCTTTGGAAATGTTTAATAGAAATGTAAAAACGGTTACAGTAAATACATCCACGGTTTATAATCAGGTTTGCTGAATTTGGTCATTTGCTAACTACTTATATCATAGAGACATATATGCTGCTTTGGCATAGAGAATAATGACAACTCCATGTCCTCATTTTCAAAGCTGGTATGTACAATAGAAAGATATGTTATTTTCCACTTCCTGCTTCTAACAGGGTGGTGTCCATTTATTTTTCCCTCAGGAGATATTGGGACTTTGTTATAAAGGCATTAAAAATAATATTTAAGCCCAAACAATGCAGACTATAAAATGTCATGGAGCCTTTGCTCAGAGCTGGAATTAGGGGCCCTATCAGCTTGATTTTATTTTAATTTGCAAAACTTCAGAACTGGTATTGTGCCTGGAGTATGTTGGCACCAAGTACAACATCACTACCAAACGGTTTACTCACTAGTTTAGTTGAGATTCTCTATCCCTGGTCACCTGACGCCTGGTCTCTTATGACCAAATGATGGAAGAGGAACTATGCTGCACTTCATGCCATACTAGGGGTAGCAGGAAATGATTGGCTGAGATCATCAATTAAGTGCTTTCAGCCAATCAATGCCCCGAATGCTAGTATGAATTGTTATAGCGAAGGATGGAAGGATAGCTCTGTCTCTGCCATATTATAATTGGAGGCCGAGTTTCAGTCTACCATGGACCTGGTATCTCTACTAAATTAAACTGTTTAGTTGTGATGCATCCCCAAACGCCAAGCACTATAACCACTCCAATCCCCTGAAGTGGTTATGGTGCCGACATTGTTCCTTTAATTGTAAGGGAGATCTGGGATACAAAATAATATTTTCGTTATGTTAGTGGGGACCTCAAGAGCACATCTAATCAGCTCTACCAAAGACATCTGTGAAGTATCTAACAGTTTTTTCTGAATGCTGAAATATCTGTCATTTTGCTGTTGGTATGATTAGACCTGGACCACCACTGCCAGTCATGAACAAGCATCGGCATTGATGCAATGATTACACAAAGTGAGCAAGGCTTAATGACACCCTAAAGAGACTAAGCTACAGCGTCTGGCATTAGAATCGTTAGATAAGGTGTCTGAGGGGGTGAAATTGATGTGGTGCCCACTTTGGCAAGGGCAGCAGGTCAGTGGCATAGCGCAAGGGTATTTATCCTTACAAGTTCTACAGAATCTGTAGTTTTACATTTTGAGTCCCCTCTGCATTAGACTGTGGGTGCAGAAGATGCAATTTAACCCTTCATGACAGACAATGTGATATAAGGGGAAATCCCCTTGTCAGAGGATTCTTCAAGAGTTAAAATGCACAACAGGATCA